AGCCCGGAGCGAGCCCCAGCGATGGAAGGCAGCCCTGGAGAGCGGCCAGGCTGATGGCCCTGCCGAGGGCACCCCGAGCGCGTTCGGCTGGGTTTGGAATGTCTGGGTTTGGAATGTCTGTGACAGCGCGCTGCCACCTTCAGTGTACAAAAGCTCTTCCTCGTATCGAGGTGGAACTTGTGGTGGTTTAGTTCATGGCCTTTGCTCCTTACCCCGTCTCTGGGCACCACCAACAGGAGTCTGGCACCATCCCCTTGGCACCTGTCTTTGAGATGTTTTTATGCATTAATGAGATCCCTTCTCTGTCTTTTCTACAGACTGAACAGCCCAGCTCCTGCAGTCTCTGCCCTTAAGAGAAATGCTCCAGACCCCTCATCATCTTTGTGGCCTTCCACCGAACCCTCTCTGGTAGTCCCGTGTCTCTTCTGTCCCGAGGAGCCCAGAACTGGACTCAGAATTCCAGATAAGGTTGGCAGTATCCATAGGGAATAGAAATGTTGCTCAGGACTGGTGCTACTCGAGGTCATGAGCCTGGTGTGAGAGCACCACAGGTCCTGGGCGGGGAACTGGGCTCTGACCCACGGAGAGAGCAGCCCTGGCACTGCCTGCAGCTCTGGCAGCTCCTCCTGCATTCCTGGCAGCAGGACACTGGTGTGTCCCTGGTGACAGAGCACAAAAAACGCTGGATTTCACAGAATCCCAGGTGGGGCATGCTGGAAAGGAACCCCTGCTGCAGCCTCCCTGCAGGTGGCCCAGGATTGTGCCCAGATGGGATATCTGGGATATCCCAGCCAGGGAGACTCCACAGCCTCTCTGGGCAGTCTGTTCCAGCGGGTGATCACTGCACAGTGCAGAAGTTCTTCCTCAGCCTCAGCTGGAGCCTCCTGTCCATCAGTTCCTGCCCATCCTTGTCCCATTGCTTGGCACCACTGAGAAGTGCCTGGCTCCATCCTCTTGCCTTTAGACATTTTTACACATGGATGAGATTTCCTCTGCTCTCTTCTCCAGGCTGAACAGACCCAGCTCCCTCTGCCTTTCCTTGAGCAGAGATTCTCCAGTCCCCAAATCATCCTCATCGCCCTCAGCTGGACCCACTCCAGGAGCTTCACCTCTCTCCTAAACAATTCTCTTTATTTTACCCTTATTTAAAAGCCCAGAAAGGTCAGATCTGTTTCTGTAGGCTAACCTGAGCACAGGCCTTGTGGTTGAAGTTTTGTTGTGTCTTCTATGAGCTGCTCATTACAGCAGCTGCCATTTCTCATTGCAATGGAATGAAATAATAAATTCATTTTCAGAGTAATAAGTGTTTTTTCTACTGCCTGCAGCAAACTGCTGAGAGATCCAACATCATTTTCTACTTATAGAAAGTGTAATTTTCTACTAAGAATTGAGTATTTTGATATTCTTACTCAATGGATGTGTATTAGAACAACGTAAAATCATGGTTTTTTGGATTGATTTCCATAGGATCTCCGTGGTACACAGAAGAATGTAATGCACATTAAAGACCAAATAATAAAAGTGATTTAAAAATTCACTTTAAATCCTCAGATTATTGAACTTCAGCCTGCTCTGAGTCAAATTCTGTGCTAGCAGGTGCAAATGCAGCATGTTTGCTGTCCACTGAAGCTCAGGGCAGCCTTCTTTTATCTTCATTTGTCACACTTACACTGCAAGTTTGTCCATTATATGCAAATAAATAAACAATGCACTTCATTGGAAGCTGTAAAAAATTACTACAGGCAGCTAAGGTACCACAGACTTGTGGCAGACAAACATTTCTTCGTGTTTCATTGCCTGAAATGAAAATATTGGAAAATATTGAAAGTATTTGATAAAGGGAGTTCTAAAAGTGGAAGTTTTTGTGAAGTTTTTCAGATAAGGAAGTCTTAAGTCCCTGGGCACAGAGAAAGGAAACCATTCAAGCTGTAGCAAAATGCCAGCCTACCAAAATGAAAGTTCATCTTGTTTCCTGAACCAAAGGAAGTGACTAACAGAGATTTATTTGTTGGGGAAAGACAGGAAGATGTTTAAAAAAAAGTAGTTTTCATTCACAGGTGCCAATAAGAACCCAATAAAATAACATGTAATGCATAGGTCAGTGGGGGTTTCCATGATGAACTGTTTTATTATTTGATAATATATAATATAATATCATATAATATAATATAATATCATATCATATCATATCATATCATATCAATCATATAATATAATATCATATCATATCATATATATATCAATTAAATAATAATATATAAATGTATTATACATTTATAGCAATATATTTAAATATATATTTATTATATATTTATTTTATATATTTATATATTACTATATTATTATATAATTTAATATGTGAGTCTATAATTAATTATATATTCATTATATATTTATTATATAATAATATATTAAATATTATATAAATATGTTATAATATTTATATTTATGATTAAAATTTTATTATTTCCCTTTCCTAGCAGTTTGATGCTAGGAGTTTTGATACACTGCCAAAATATAACTGCAAATCAGTAAACACTGAAATTTGTTTTCATTTTAAACAATTGTTTATTTTTTCACAGCTGAATATATTTCTGAATATATATTTTTGCACAGTTGAAATAAACTGATGCTTGGCAATCATCCTGCAGCTGTTCACCTAATCTTGAGAGAATTTAAAGCCACAAACATTTCCAAGTTCAATCTGAACATTTCACCTTACATTGGAGGAGGAGATGTCAAACACTGCTTGCAGGGATCAGAGCAAACCACAGCCAGTGAGTGCACTGTTTGTAACTGAAGTTTGTAAGTTTTTTTTCCTCATGTTTTATCACCAGGGAATCAGCAGCCTAGCCTGGATTTCTGCCTTTGCCTTCATGTTTTCTGCCAGTGACCACAGCCCTGACACCCCAGTTTGGACAGGGGCAGACAGCAGATACTGGCTGGTTAGACAGCTGTGGTCAAATAATATCTGAGAAATGCTTTGATATTTCTTAAAATAACAGAATTATAAAATGATTTCCTAAAGCACAGCTAGACTTTTATTTAATTATCAATATAGACATAATCATTGACAATATAATAATTTGTTTATACTTTTATATAGTCACTTTAAATAGTGCAACCTCGCTGGTCTTGGCTGGGGGAATTCCTCAGACCATGGTGGAAAGATCTCAGGATAAAAGTACAACTTTGCTGTATCTGGTTTTCCCTTCCACACCATGTTCCCCTAATTAACCTCCATAAAGCTGAACACAGGATGCACAAGAGAATGATGATTACAAAGACAAAATTAACATAATTTATTCATTAAATAAAGAGACCAATGTATTTTTTAACAAAAGTCCTAGCTTGTACAGTCGTGTCAGATTCTTTGCAACTGTTATAAAGAACTTTAATAGCAAGGAACAGCGAAATAAAAATCTATTTTCATTTATTTCCAGGTCATCTAGAAATTCTCCTACCAGCTACAAAAAGATCAAAAGAGTGGTTATGTTTTGAAGAACTTCAAATCTTCAGTTTTCAAGAAATTCTGAGTCTCATGTAAGACCTGTAGGGTTTAACTAGAAGAATAAAGCAGAAACAGTATTTAAATTCAACAACCACAATAAACCACATATAAACCACAAATAACCACAGACCTTACAAAGTAAAAACATGAGTGTGTGATTAAGTATTTCATGATCAGTCTCAAAAAGACAAAAGTTGGAAGCTGTGTTGTCCAAAAGAGATGGAGATATATTAACAGAAAAGGTGGGGTGCTGCTGTTTTATCTACAACAAATCAATGCTTTCTTCAGTGACTGGGAAATGTGTTCTTGAAAAAAACACAAGAAGAAGTTTTAATTTTTTAAGTTTTAAAAAAACTGGAAGGACACCAAAGCTGGAGCATAAGCTGTTCTAAAACCCAGAATTATTCACTGTTACAATTATTATTCAATTTTTTAATGCAAACATTGATACTTGTCACTGAAAATTGACTAGGTAATAAAGAGGGATTTTTGCAGTACCATCCAATTTCCTACTTACAAACAAATTTAGAGCAGACATTTTCAAATGGTTAACATAGAAATCTGCATTTCAAATGCCTCTCTTACATCTGAAACATGTCAGAAGGCTCTCTCTACCAAACTTTATTCTTTAGATTTCAAATGTCGTCCCATAACAATAAAGCTTTAAAGATTAAGTGTATATCAACACAGCTTAAATGTATAAATACATCAATTTTTTCACCATTATCATCAGAATCTGTTGAACCCAATCTTTATGCCTGTTTCTGAAAAAGCACAGCAATTAATAATTACCATAAAAATTCAGAAAAATATTCCAGTTATTTAGAACAGTGACACTTCTGTTTTTTCCCCACTTAAATATCAACAATGCCTGTATTCACTACAGTGGTGAAGTTGATGAAAGGAGAACATTATAAAGAGGAACCCTTAAAATGTTGCTCCATTCCATTCACAAATGTCGAGACAAATTAAAGTTCAGCATACAGTTCTCTGTGGCACAGAGATCCTCATGGAAGGGAAAATCAACAGCTTCTCTTACAGAAATTGCCACAATTATCATGGCATTATCAAATCTGCTCTGCTTGGATGCCTGAAGATACAAAGGGCAGTGCAAAAGGTTTTCAGTGATGAAACGGACCTATAAAAATCGGAAAAATTCTCTTTTCTGGTCAGATTAAAGAACATGGACAGCTATTCACACAGAATCAGCTTGCAGAGGGCTTTGACAGGCTGGAGGCTCTGAAGGCAGATTCCAGAGCTGCCACAGGGAATTCCCCTGCTACTGCCCAACAGGTTCTGCCATCTGTAGCTCAGAGCGTGAGGATTGCTCAGGGCTGGAGAGGACAGACTCTCCCTGAGCATGCAGAGCAGGTTATTCACACTTAGTCCCATTTCCCATCTACATTTGAACTAAAAAGGAGGATTCTGTGGGATACAGCGATGCCACCTGGCACTGTGGAAGCCACAGCACCTGCTCCACCACGGAGAGGAGAGGCTGCTGCAGAGAGCACCCGGCCTGGGCAGGGCATAGTTTACTCCTGGAGGGCAGCTCTGGAATTTTAAGGTGAAGTGAAATGTGTAAGGATTCCAGCCTGGCATTTCTGAAGAGCCTGGAACAACAAGCTCTCAGGACAGAAGCTTCTGGATGCAGGATGAGGATGAGGAGACACCAGCCCTCGAAGTGGCCCACGGCAAGTGGGAGTGGAGCAACCTCAGCACAAACACAACTCGTGGCACCTCAAGCCCCCATTTCTCAGGCTTCATAAAGATAAAAGGATTTTGTTTCATGTGTATTTTCCAGCTTTTCCCTCTAGTGGAGGTTTCCTGGGACTTCAAGCACGATAACACGCTGTAAGCAGAGCCTGACTCCACCAGGTCTACAGAGTCCTGGCACAGGGGCCTTGGCACTGCTGTCTGGATTAAGACTCCTCTCAGATCAGTGAGGGCTCAGTGTTCTCTGCACACCAGAAACCTGCTCAGCCACAGTGAGCAGAGTGCAATCAGACAATTGGAATAATTCAGGTGGCAGAAGTCACTCTGGAAGCTGCCATTTCCAATGGTAACGCTGCTATTTTGCACCATAAAAGCAAACGCTGACCTTGTCACTGCTGAAAGGGGCTTTAGGTGAGCTCAGAAAGAATTAAGGGAGCATCTCTCATCAATCCATAGCTGTGGAGAGCCTGAAGGAGCAGTGATGCCCACCTGAAGCATGGTGAGGTGGTAACTTCTCTGTGGGACAAGTTCCGTGCTCCTCTTCCCGCACTGACTGACTTTGACCATTGGTTTAAATTTTCTTAATTTTCTTTGTGCTCCAGGGCAGAGAATCAGGCTTATTGTTTATGCAAGTTAAAAGCAGGAATCTATAATTTATATTTTATATGACTGTACAATGTGCTGGGCCCACCTAACTCAATTATGCCATATTTTGCCAGGCCCGTGGTTGAGGATAGGAAAATGTCCTGCAGAATTTTATTACCCCACTAAACTCAAAGGGAACTTACACAGTTCACGTCAAAAAGAAAGTGACAGTCCCTGGCCAAGCATTTCTTGTTACCTGGATTCTGGGGTTTATTTAAGGCAGCTGGAATTGCAACACTTGGCTTCTCCCAGAACACGTGAGCACTCTCTTCAACTCCCTTCAGTGCAAAGTCCATTGATTGTGGTCAAACCACCTCCAAACAAAGTTGCTGGATGCTGCACTGAAACCAACAAGTGTTCCTTTACTGCAGTTTGTTAGGAAAGCTGTAAAGGACAGGAATTTCTGCATTCTGACCAACAGCAAGAATCTGGGAGGTTTCAGAAGCCACCCAAGCTGCTTTACTTGAAGAAGAGCTCTAAATCCTCATGCTCCCAGAGCTTTGAATAAGTTGCCCATTTGACCTAACCACATAATAAAACATTGATGCTCCAGCTTTTATTCAATTATCATATCACTTACCTTCTGTTGCCACAGCAAAAATATCGGATACATAAATAATGCACAGACAAATCACACCAGCAGCCACCACGGTTAGAAAGGAAAGGGTGATGCAAACCAACATAATTTTAATTAAAAGGTCTTGCTATCACATGTTCTGGAAGTCTGAGAAGGCTAAAACATGTATTCCCAATTATAAAGTTTATGATTTCAAATGTCATGTGTAGAATAAAGGACTTCATTTATTCATAAATTGAACTAAAAACTAAAATGAAGGACCTTAGCTGCTCCTTCAGTCCTGCTCATGGGCTCTGCTGTTACTGCTGCTTCCTTCTACCCTTTGAGCATAAAAAACCCAAAAATCCCCCAAAAAAGACCAACCAAAATGAAGCACATATAAAAAAAAAAAAAAAAAAAAGAAAATGCCCAGTGGAATTTTAAAAGCAAAAACCTAAGACACACTCAGGACAAATGAGATGGTACAGCCCTGAAATTCTGTTTGTTGTTTTCCCTCACTCAGCATTGATTTTTTCTCTTTTATAAACAGCTTGTTCTCTGTACTTAGTGTATTCTTGTAAGAGATCAAATGGAAAGAACTTTAAGATGGTTTTCTCTAATTCTGTTTCTGGAAATTAAATAAAGATTTGTTAGGTTATCTATGGAAAAGGCTAATGCAGAGAAAGTAATCTTGATTGCCTAAGATACTTACCCACAAACTGCTGATAGTAGGAGCTGCTTTCCTTTTAAAAAGCTGTGTGCATTCAGCTTTTTGCCTTGCTTTTTCTTTATTTAAAAAACCCACAAACCTTCAGAAATTAAAAGTCATATCTGAAATGCAGCATTGAAATCTTCAGGATTGCAACAGGATCTGCTTACCTGCTTTCCAAAGTGTTTTTTGGAGAAAACAATAATCAATTTCATGGGAAAATATCTTATTTTATAAATATATATATATAAATTATATTTTAAATACAAATAATTAAATTTTATATTTTATTAATTTTATATTTATATTATATTTTATATTCCCTTGGTTTGGGAAGAAACTTAAACACAGGGCTGTTAAAAAAAAAAATAAAATATTCCAGCCTCCAGAATCTCCTTTTTCTGCAAATAAGTTGCTCATAGAAGGCCTGCTGTGGATTTTATGGACAATAACCACAGCATGGGGGGGTTCAGCCCTCTGAGGGAAAAACAGTGCAAGAATATCCAGGGTAATTCATTTTAGCTGGGGGGCAAAAAATACCAAAACTCTGTGGAGCACCATTTCTTCCCCTAAGGTACACAGAGATGACATTCTGATCTGGCAAGAAACAGAACAAATGAAAATACTAAAATTCAGGTAAATCACAGCAGCAGATTCTCTCTTAGCCAACAGTCTGGCTCCTCACTCACCACAGCAGTTTAAGATTTGGCAGCTGTATTGTACAAATTAATTCAGAACATTTAGAACCCAGAACTAAAAAATCCAGATCAACCAGACATCATCAACTCAGGCAACATAATGGAAACATCCCCCCCAAACCCTAGAACTGTATTTCTTCGTGTTTCAAGCAGAAAATAAAGTCCAAATTGCCAATTTATTTCCAACAATTTTAACTTTTTGAGGCTTAATATTTTAATAACAAATGACTAAGCATTATAAGGTTTTTGTTTAAAAAGTGTTTTCACTTTAATGGGTTTAGTTAATAACATCATGAATGGTACAAAACTGTCCTTTTTCACATTTCCATACATTGCATTATGGACCACCTGAAAATCTGGACTAAGAATGCATAGTGTCTCTTAATTAGCCCTAGCTTCATTTTTGCCATATGTAGAACAGATATGCAGAAAAACATGCATTTATTACCAATGACATGTTAATATTAGCTTAAATAATAAAATATGGCAGCATGTGCACTGTGAAATGCACAGGCTCATAATAGGGTAAGAGAGACCAAATGTCAAGTGCTGGCAACGAAATAAGAAATGGTTGATGACACACTGACATTTTGTGACCATAGTATTAGCTTTTCTGCTTTAAAATTGTTTTAAATAGTAGTAAATATTTAAATAATATTTAAAATATATTTCCTATGGAAATCATTTACTTGGAAGACAGCCTGTAAGATCTGACTTTTTTTTTAAAAAGTAGTATTTCATTTGGACAATATATGAATACAACACATGCCACAGAACCTCAAAGACCCTAAAGTCCTTAGCTGCTTTCAGAAACCATTTCTCAATCCAATTTTGTCTCTGATTTTTTGCTAGCAAAACTTTGGGAGTAGCATCTCAAAGCAAACCTGCCTTTAAGAGAAATGCTCTATTTGAATAAAACCAAACCCAGTGTAAATTGGGATGCCACGCTAAAGGAAAGAATAGTGGAATTAAAAGCCAAATAACAGATTATGCAATTTGTTTCATTCTTGTTTTGCTAATTCATAGTCTAAGGAGGGCTTTGTTCCTTCCCAGTGCATCTTCTCTTGCAGTCAAATCAGTGCTCAATTTCCACTGTCATATTTAAGGGATGAAGACCTCACTGTTACTCCAAGGGGAAAAAAAATGAGGTGTGGGTGCAGACTTCATTATCTAAAATGCAACAAAACAAAGTATTTGTGCAAAAAAAGTAATTTGTACATTGACTTTTTTCATTAAGTTTGCTTCAGTATAAAAAAACCTCTTCAATACTACTAACAAAGCTTTGCTTTGATTTATGACCCTTCAACACACTCAAGAGTTCCATGTTTTTACTTACTCTAATTTGTTAAATTAACAATCCAGCCACCATTTTTACACCCCAAGACAAAGATGGAAATTCCATTATATTAATCTTTAATAGTCTGGGGCAGTTACTTTTATTCAAGACAATTTTTTCCTGACTTCTACAGGCACAGTGCTTGTTTAGCTGGCCTTGGGAACAAAACAGCCAAAAATAAGCCAGGTCACTTTCTATGGCAGTGCAGAGCATCCTGCCCCCCCCCACCCCCTTTTAATTTTAATGGTTGTTGGTAAAATTACTTCCTTTTTAAATAGGGATAAGCTACTCCAAAAGCCTCTCTTTTTTTTGTTGGTTTTTTGTTTGTTTGTTTGTTTTTGTTTCAGCTTCTAAGGACTGAAAGCAGCTTTCTAAAGCTACTTCTAGATTTGAAAAATCCAAAGTACACAGTAGTGGTAATCTTCTAGAAAGCACTGAGAACTCTCTCAACTCTCTGCTTCATTAGGAAGGGGTGTGAGAGAGACAAAGTCTGACCAGCTCTTTACTACATCATCAAGGAGCCCATTCCATTTGTTCCCTCAGTCTGTATCCTAATGATTTTTAAAACCACAGACTAGGAATTTCCAAGGTGTGACTACAGATCTCTGCCTGGGTAAGTAATCCCCTGTCATGAATCTATCCCAGTAAGAGAATGCACTGAGTAAATCTGGGAATGCCCACTAGTGATTGAAGAGTGTGCCAGGCACATTTCTACTGTACCTCCAGTGTGCACATTTACATCAAAACCATTTTATCTGATTGCTGCCAAGGCTGGTAACTCTGCTGTGTTTGCTTTCACCTTATAAGCTCTACCAGACCCAGCAGGACTGAAACTATAGAAATTCCTTACCCCCACGGCTACCCTTCTTTTCAATGTGGGAATTAATTAGCTCCATGACTGCTCTAACAATCTGCACATTCTGCCTAACCCCAAACCCACCTCGCTCTCCTTGATAATTGCAGACAGAGCAGTAGCACAATGTGTCATTAACACGACAGTGACCTCCCTTTTTAAAGCAAAACCACGAGGAAGAGGCTTTAAGAAAGGCAAGGGCACATGCCCATTTCTGTTCTTCGTAGTCTGCACACAAATTGTAAAGGAGAATTATTGCTTTTTAAGGATGAAAAGCTTTGGGAATATGGGAAACATCCTACGAAGGTTCTAAATCTAATCAGCTAAAATTCTGTACATACTTTAATATTCAAGCCTCTATCTGCTTACTCAAGATCAAATAATTTCATTTTCACATCTATTCATTAAACTCTTTATAGTTCTACGGTCTAATGAATATTTAACAACTAAATAGGATCAAAACATGGGGGAAAGGTCACATGGCAATGAACATTATTTCATTTGGCCAATGAATAGTGAACCCTGCTCTCTTGGCTGAAATTAAGGCACTAAGTGGCAGTAAAAGGATAAAGGAATGAAGTTTTTTTTTCGACATTATCTGAAAAAAGACCAACGTGACTTTTTTTTTTTTTTAGGACGCCAGTAGAGTACATCTCAATTCTGAATGACTCGGTAAGGCATTCTATTGGCAAATTTCAAGAAAATGTTCTCCTGACTAGAGCCCATTACATTCATTGTCTGAGTGTGACTAGTGGCACTACTAAGTGTTAACAACCTGGAGGAGGAGAAAAGCTACAAAGATGTCTGAAGACTCGAAAGGCACCGAAAAGAGAACAGCTCTGCAACTGCCAGTTCTACAAACAATTATGTAAGCTGTGTTTAACACTGCATATAGTCTATTTTTCAATCAACAATCTTTGTTGACCAAGATAAAGTGTAGTAGCTCTTCATTTAAACTCTCAGTTAATCAAGTGCTAGTTTAGTAAGAAATTTATTTTCACATACCAGAAAATAATTGCAGTGTCTAACACAACTACACTTAAAGCAAAACTAGTCTAGTATGCATTATGCATTATTCTGGTTAACACTGAAGCAAACCTGTATAAACAAAAGGGTTACCTCGAGATACATAGTTTACAATATAAAATCAACATATAAATGAATAGGATTTACTGAAAACAATGGAAAGTGTATTACAAAGATACATGTAACAATTTTAACCACAATATTTCCTCTGTGAAAAATACAACTATTAGTGAGATAAAATGTACAATTGATTTTTTTTTTTCAAAAGAAAAAAAAAACAACTAAACACAGTATAAAGGAAAATATTTTTTTCTTCAAAACAGGGAAAATAGTTAAGGTCATTGTCTTTCATTACAATATAATTTGACACAAAAGCAGTCATAGGATTGCACCAACTCCATGTTCGGTCTCCCGAGCATGACAATAGTAAAAGGAGTCCATAAAGCATAATGAAATTTCTGGATTTTTAGGATGGCAATATACGTATGCAGAAACTGATGTCACTCCGGCTCTGTTCTCAAAATGTACAAAACTCTAAATTTGGTGGCCAGACATGTAAAAATTAGTTCGCCCCAACGCTGACTTTTCTCTCACTTAGTCAGGGATGGAAAAATCTGTAGTATTTTAAGTGTTGTTATCTGTTGAGCAATAAAAAAGAAAAAAGTATATGTAGTGCATGCTTTTATCACTTGTCAAAAACATTTCTGAAAATAAAACTAAGTTATCCAATAGTTTACAAAATAGAAAATAACTCTTCAGGTTAAAAATGTGGT